GAGTGAGTGGGTAGAGGAAAATCCCATTTCTCAGACAATTGGAATCATACTGGCCATTTGCAGGCCTCGTACGGTTTATTCACTGGAGCTAGAAGCATCTTCAGAGCAAGCAAAATGCTGCTGCAGGGGCTCTGGGTGGCTGGGAGCATTTCAAAGGTAATGTGAAAGTAAAAAATTGGGGGTTGAAATAGTGCCCCCTCCCTCCCACCCCCACTGTATTTTTCGTAGGCATGGGAAGTGCATCTTGGGGTGATCTTGGCCCTGATCTCCTGGGCTTATTTCTGGAAATACTCAAATCTGGTTTCTCTTGTTGAGTGGGAAGTAGAGTCAGTCTGTTTGGTAAGACAGAAATCTGAGTTCCTCACATGCCTTCTTCTGTATGTTAAGTGGCAAGCTTCTTGGCGGATTTTCATAGAATTTTAGGGTTGCTTGGCAGAGTGGAAAGGTCTCCCAGTTGAAACTGGGTTTGCATTTGTGTTAAAGTTCTAACTGCTTAAAAAAAAAAAAAGAATTCCCCAACTCAGCCCCAAATCTTATTTTTTTCCCACCTACGTAGGACTTTTAAGGTTTCCTCCACCTTTAGTCATTATGAAGTGTCTGATTCCCGTGGAAAGAAAAGGTAACGGATTGCGGTCCTGGCAGGATGCACAGAGCTCCACCCTTTACGGGAGCATCTCCTTTCCCTAAAATCATTTTATGGAGACATGGGCCCAGTGCCATGTCCAGTAGCCCGTGCGGAGGACACCCCCTTGTTCGGCTGCCCTCGAGCTGTCCAAGGGAAACAGACTGTAGAGTCTAACGGATTAGGTTCTTAACGACTTGTTCTCCACCTGACTAGGAACGTCAAAGGTAAATCAGTGGAGAATACCAAGCGTCCTCTGCTACACTGCCCAGCCTCAGTAGACTATTTTTCATGCAGGAGTGAGCAGCTCCTTTGGCCACCGAAGGCTTTCCCCGCGCTGACAAGGTGCAGCAGATGAGACGGGAAGGCAGCCTTCCACCCCGCTTGCAGTGACACCAAGTAGAGTCCTCGGAATTGTAACAAATGCAGGGTTTTCACATGAACTCTACTTTTCATTCAGGTAGAACAGCTCACTTGCCTTTGATTCTTCACACTGCAGACCGGCTCTTTTCACAGAATGTTTATCTCACATATTCCTAAGACATCTTTGGACTTAGGTGGTAGTTTCTCCTTATTATCCCAGATAAAGGCACCGGGATGCTTGGAGGTTTAAGTAACTTGCTCAATTCTGGCCCCGTTAGCAAGTGATTGGTTTGGGATTTGAACCAAGCAAATGAGAGTAATGAATCTTTCTTGGAGCCTGCAGTGTAGCTAAAAAGCATTTTCAGCATTTTTAATGGTAGTGCAAAGATAATAGAGAAATGAATGACAGTCAGTTCACAAACCAGCTTGAGTTCGTTCCTTTTCCTAGAGATTCTGGCTCCCTCTTTCTCGCTAGGATGCCTCATTTGAGGCATGTTTCAGAAGTGAAATAAAACCCTGAATTAAAATAACACAATCATGTTTTGTATGATCACACAGTAGTATCTGGCAAAAGCACACCCGAACCTCATTCCTAACTCGGAATCATCCTGACCTGTTGCTTTAACGGTTTAAAAAATGTTGGGCTTCCCCTCCCCCAATGAAGCCCCCTCTTCCCCCAATCACTTTAATTATGGGAGCTAGAATCCTGTTTCTCACACATCTTCAGCTTGTTAAAATTAATCATATAATCCCCCTTTAAAACATAGTATTAAATCACCATAGTAACAGTATCCAAGCTTTATAGATAAAACATAACAGCCCCAAGAAGGCAGTGTTTGCTGTCCCCCTGACAGCACTATAACTTTTATAGAAACGAGTTCTTTCTCCTGGCTTGTGTAAGGTGAGGGATAGCATTACTTACACCTGTTTTATTACCAGGTTGCTTTTAAATTGCCAACTTGTTTCGTTCACCTGCCTCGGTTGGGGTTTGGGTTTTTTTTTTTTTTTGGTCTCTCTCTCAGAAGTTTCTTTGTGAGATATTTTCTGATAGTTTCTAACAGTCTTTCAGGGGTGGAATTATTTCCTAAAATAGGACCAGGGAAGGTCTGGGTGACCTCTTATTCTCGGATCCCTTGAAAGTCTCTTTGTCATTTTTGGATATGGTTGGTATACCAGTCTGGTTTCTTCTTATTTTTAATTTCTTAAATTTTTTAATTTTTATTTTTTGGGTCCTATTTTGCGGTGCTCAGGGCTTACTCTTGGGCTCTGCACTCAGGGGTCACTCCTGGTAGAACTTAGGGGGCCATCTACAGTGCTAGGAATCGAACCTGGATTGGGCACACATAAGGCTGCACTGTCGCTCCAGCCCACCATGAAGTTTTAGGAAAGGACGGCTTTCCATATTTGGAATTTAATTGATCACTGTGTAAGGACCCAATAGGAAGTCTGCCTTTGGAAAACATCTATTGACCTGTGTGTTTTCCTTTTCCACAAACTGATTACAAGGTAAATTGTAGCTGAGAGCATTGATGTGTCTTACCAATTTGAATATATATTTAGGGGAAGGGGGAGGAGAGAGAGAGAGAGAGAGAGAGAGAGAGAGAGAGAGAGAGAGATCTGAAGTGAAGACTGTGTGATCTGGGACTGAGTCTGGGTCTCTAGTTAGGTCCTTCAGCCTGTGAGCTAACTCCCTACCCCTCAGAGTCTATTTGGTAAAACACAATGTATGAATAGTATGAGTTTGAGTTCTGTTGAATAATTCTGCATTAATTCTAAAACAGGTTAGTGCATATCAATATATTAGAGTTCGGGGTTCTTAATGTTTTGTTTTGTTTGGGGACCACACTGGCGGTGCTCAGGGCACCCAGTGACCCAGGCCTCTAGGGCCCTCTCCTGCTCAGGTGGAACATGATCTAAATTTCAGGACGGCCATGAGCACAGATGTCTGTCACAGGTGTCCGTCAGCCGTGGCACTTCTATTCCGTGCTTGCCGTCAGCATCCTTCCCTGAACTTGAGGAACAGTCATCGTGCTCTGCACTCAGGGATCACTCCTGGTGGTGCTCGGGGACCATATGGGGTGCTGGGGATCCATCCCGGGTCAGCTGTGTGTATAGCAAACTCCCTACCCCCTGTACTATCTCTCCGGCTCCAGGGATTCTTAATTTTTTTTTAAAAGTAGAATCCAAGATATTGGTCAGATTAGTATTTTAAAGTATATTTTACACTGATGGAGGGATGGGTATTTGATCGTGGTATGACCGAGATCCAAGCACAAAAATTTGTAAATCTACAACTGTACCTCATGGTGTTTCACTAATTAAAAAAAAAAAAGCATATTTTAGGGCTGGAGCGATAGCACAGCAGGTAGGGCGTTCGCCTTACACGCGGCCAACATGGCCGACCCGAGTTCGATTCCTCCGCCCCTCTCGGAGAGCCCTGCAAGCTACCGAGAGTATCTCGCCCGCATGGCAGAGCCTGGCAAGCTCCCCGTGACGTATTCGATATGCCAGACACAGTAACAACAAAGTCTCCAATGGAGACGTTACTGGGCCCGCTCGAGCAAATCGACGATCAACGGGAGGGCCTTTACCTTTACCTTTACCTTTATTTTAGTGCCAGAGAGAATGCGAAGGACAGAGTACATCCATTGCATGCCAAAGCCCCAGGTTCGGTTCCTGGTGCTTCATCACCCAACCCCACCAACACGACTGGGTGTGGCCCAGAAGGAAAAGCCAAGGTGTAATGTAAAATGTTTTGTAGGGCCGGAGTGATTGTAGGGCAGGTAAGGTGCCTGCTTGGCACACAGTTGGCCTTGGTTTGATCCCCAACAGCCCCTATCGTCCTCTGAGCCCCTCCAGAGGTGATCCCTGAGCACAGAGTCAGGAGTAAGCTCTTGGCACTGCCAGTGTGCCCCCCCACCCCAAAAATGGTTTTGTAACTTAAAGAAGCATCTACATTCACATGCTCAGCAAGTGCGAGGTCATGAGTTCAAACCCCAGAGCTTCTCCCAAGTCCTGAGGTGATTCCGACACTAGATAACAAAGTCTCTCGATTAGTCTGAACGGTTATAGGCCTTTGGTTTTTTTGCTTGCTTTGTTCCCCATAAGTTCATAAACTCTGAAAGACCTGGGGGCCCCAGACAAGCAGTCCCGACCCTTGCCCTCTTTCAAATCCCAGCCGCACCCATGGTGCCCGCAGCTCTGTGAGCTTCACCCCAGCACCCAGCAAGCCTGCCCCCCGGGGCCCTTTCCCACTCAGGTGGAACATCATGTACGTTTCTTTTCTTTTTTTTCTTTTTGGGTCATGCCTGGTGATGCACAGGGGTTACTACTCCCTGCACTCAGAAATTACTCCTGGCAGTGTTTTCGGGGGACCATAATGGGATGCTGGGGATCGAACCCGGGTCGGCCATGTGCAAGGTGAACGCCCTCCCCACTGTGCTGTCGGTCCAGCCCCCATCATCATCTGAATTTCAGGCTGGCCGTGGGCGCAGATGAGAGAGAAGGTGTCTGTCAGCCGTGGCACTTCCATTCTGGGGCTGCCGTCAGCACCCCTCCCAGAACCCGAGGAATGGTCCGCATGCTCATTTCTGGCAGGCAGGCCTGGTGGGCTTCAGCATCAGACGAGCCTCCGTTTAGAGCCCCGCTCAGCTGCTGTGTGCAGCCGGCCTCTAAGGCAGCACCCCTTGAGGCTCCGTCCCCGTCTATGAAGTGGGGTTCAGAGTGAGGAAACCCTCGCCTGAGCTCTGGGCAGGAGGCCGGGGCCATCCCTTGCAGACTGGGTTTTCTTTTCTTTTCTTTTTTTTTTTTTTCTTTGCCCTTGTCATTGCGGGCCCCACCCCACCCCCCCACCCCAGCCTGTTCCCTTGAAGTGTGTAAAATTTTAAGCTCGTTTGTAAAGCGTTGTTCCACCAGAGAAAGGAAATGTTACAGGTTCAACGACCTGTCGCGATTAGATACTTTATCCAGAAACTCACTGCACATCCATCTCCCCTTTGTTCTGTCACTGCCGCAGCCTCACGGTGAGCCAAGTTGGCCAGAACTTCACGTTCGTGCTCACTGACATTGACAGCAAGCAGAGGTTCGGGTTCTGCCGCTTATCTTCAGGGGCGAAGAGCTGCTTCTGTATCTTAAGGTAAGGGCCCCGGCCGGGCCAGGAGAGCACGTCGGCCCCGCCCCGCCGTCATGAAGGCGTCCTGGCGGTCCCCCCACTCCGTGCCTATCTGCTTCCCGCCAGGCCTTGCACCCGGGGAGCAGGGCCGCCTGGTGCTGGCCTTGCCCTCGGAGGGCTGCAGATAATCGTATTTATTTACTTGTAGCACATCCCTTGGGTGGGAAAGGGATCGTGGGTTCCGTGGCACGGGCGGACGCCCGCGCGCCGGCAGTGGCTTGGGGTCCGCCCGCCTGTTATCTGGAGCTGTCAGAGAGGGGCCTGCGAGACTTTCCCGGGGACATTTTGTGTATGTAAGTTTATTAATAAAGTATGTGTCTGCAGCCCGGCACGTCTTGGAGACACTGATTGCGGCTCCCTGGCCGCGACACTCTTGCCCCCTTTGGGTCAGCGGGAGAGTGGCTGCCTTTCCCCCACCCCCCCCCCATTCCCACCCTCACCCCCTCCTCAGCTCCCTCTGGAGAGGTTCCAGCCAAGTGCAGAGTCCCGGAAGTGCCTTCCCTAGACCGCCCGACCTGCCTCCCTGCACCAGAGCTGCGCTTGGCTTAATGCTCCGTTTCCTCCTGCCAGCGGGGCGCAGCGGGTTCTGGGGGAGGCGGGGGGGGGGGGGGTGGGGGGGGGGAGTGTGGAAATCTGATTTGGTTGCTGCTGCTGGCTCGGTGGGCCCCTGCCGGGCGCCTCCTGAGGGGCTGGGAAAGGCATCCCCCCCTCATGTGCCTCTCCATCTGCCTTGGTTAAGTAGGTGTCAGAGGGGCCCGCCTCCTGTCTGTGTCTGCTGGTGTGCGTGGCTTCAGGCCCGCAGCCTGGAGGCGCCCCAGGCGCGGCCTTGGGCCCAGGTATAACCGGCCAGAGCCTGGGCACAGTCCAGGAAACGTAGTTTCTCAGGCCTCCCCACCTTCCGCACTTTCTTCCTCTTCTCACCAGGGAAGGGTCCACTGCACGCACCCTCCTCCACCTCTGCCCCCCATCTCTGCCCTCTCCCCCTACCCCACATGCCCACAGCACCCCTTCTCCCTGGAGTGAGGTACTGACAAGTTATTGGCCCGGGGCGGCTTCTGCATTTCTCTGCGCAAACCTCACTTCTCATTTTCACCAAAGAAGTCAAACTGCGTCCCTGAGACAAGGTCCGGGGGATCTGGGGTTAGTCCTAAGGGTAGCGGGGCCTGGATGGGGGTCTCTGCTGTTGGGAGAGGGACTGGTGAGGGGCTGGTGTTGGGCCGGGCCCCAGGTCGACCTGCCCAGGCCACGAGGCGCTGGTGGCTGTGTCTCTCCGCGGTCTGGTTTCACAATGTCTTTTATTCTTTATAAGGAATTTTTCCCCCTTGGGATTTGGCCTCATATTAGTTCCTAGCCTTCTAGTTACATAATCCTTAGGAGGTGTGGAGGAGGCAGCCAGGGTCTTGAGGTTTTGCAAAAAGACTGTTGCCTGTGGTATTTGGAGTTTTGAGGCTCCTCTCAGAGCCGGTGTGAGGCCGGCTTCCTTTCAATCAGCATGTTTCCGCGAGTGTCAGGTAGTCAGTCCCAAATTTCCAGGGTCATGGTCGCTCCCCTGAGCGAGTCTCTGCACAGGCCGTGGGGCCCGGGGTGGTGAGAAGCCAGGTGGGGAGCCTTCCGGCTGCCTTCGTGTGAAGAACAGCAGCGGCGACGGTGTGTCTCCTCTCCGGTCTGTGTCGTGGAGCTGCGGGAGAAGCTGGTGGGTTCATTCATTCACCGGATGTCAGCCCTTAATAGAGTGCCTACTATTAACTAGTGCCTGCCTCGGCGGAGTGGCCGAGATTAGCCGGGGAGATGGATGAGCACGCCGCAGTGCGCTATATATAACGCCGGCTGATCCCCCGGCAGGGCCTGCTGACTGCTGACACCCGGGGCCCGAGGAGAGGGGTGCGCTGAGAAATACAGAGGCTGATAGGATTCCTTCTGGGATGTGCTTGTTGCAAGTATTTAACATGGGGGAAGGGAGATTTTTTATAGCACAGCAGGTAGGGCGTTTGCCTTGCACATGGCCAGCCGGGGTTCAATTCCTCTGTTCCTCTCAGAGAGCCCGGCAAGCTACCAAGAGTATCCCACCTGCACGGCAGAGCCTGGCAAGCTCCCCATGGCGTATTCATATGCCAAAAACAGTAACAGAAAGTCTCACAATGGAGATGTTACTGGAGCCCTCTCGAGCAAATCGATGAACAACGGGAGGACGGTGCTACAGTGCTGTTATTCTTATTCTTATTCTTCTCGAGCTTGTGTGTTTGTCAGAGACACACGGTGGCCCTCTCCTGTCGTGTGCCTGGGGAACAGTGCTGTGGTGAGACTAGCACAGGGGAGGCAGCCTCTCCTGCTGACCCTGGCTCACTGGTTAGTGAAGTGTCCAGTGGAGGGGGGAGAGGCCTGCCAAGGGGGTCTGCTTTCCTCCACCACTGGGCTTCCTGCCACTCTCCACGTATCCTTCTAACCGACCCGGGCCTCAGGGTACAGTTGCCTGTCTCGGCATGCCTGATGCTTGGGTGCCTTCTTGTGAGGAGTGTCGCCTCCCAGGAGGGAGGGTTGCTGTGCAGAGTTCACCTCTGCTGCCCCCCCCTTCCCGCCCTACCCCCCTCCCCAGTTTCGCTTCTCAGGCGCTTCTGCCCCCTGACTGCTCTCCCAAACTACCAGGCTTCTGCTGTCCCTGGTCAGTCTGCCCCCGTGCATTTGTGCGTGCTCCCAGCTTGGGCTTCCTCCCTCTGCAGTATGTGCTCTGCTTGTTTCCTTGCACACGCAGGTCCGGCTCTTCTCTGTCCTTCTCCAATTGGACAGCCTCAAGCAGTTTCATATCCCCGGCACGAGTACGTATAGGGTTTGACCAAGATACTGTGTGTGGAGCTTTAAAATGCACATGTGTGCGCGCGCGCACACATACACACACACACACACACACGATGTTACCACATCCACTTTGTTACAAGCGGCCAACATGGCTGACCCGAGTTCGATTCCTCCGCCCCTCTCGGAGAGCCCGGCAAGCTACCAAGAGTATTCGATATGCCAGACACAGTAACAACAAAGTCTCCAATGGAGACGTTACTGGGCCCGCTCGAGCAAATCGACGATCAACGGGAGGGCCTTTGTTTTATATATTATTCAATATTATTTTGGGAGATGGAGGATTAGGCCACACATGGCAGAGCTCAGGAAGCTAGTCCTGTGCTCAGGAGTCACCCCTGGCAGTGCTCAGGGGGCCGTTTGTGGAAACCAGATCAGCTCTGTGCAGGCAAGTGCCTTCACCCCTGCACCTGAGCACACCGGCCTTTCTCTAACATACGTTTAAGTCTCCCTCTTCTCCTCCCCTTTTATGCTGTTGTTACGTTGTGGTGATGGGGGTTGCCCACGGCCGCCAAGCATGCTGGGGGCTGCACGCCTTAGGCCGCCGCCACTCACCTGTCTGTCAGGACTCGCACACCCGGCTACAGTGCTCGCACGCTTTGCATGCAGTGCTCACTGGGGGTTGTGCACTTCAGCGGTGGCACTGGAACACACTTGGCTATGCTGTGTGGGAGAAAACAAGCTTTGCTGCTGCAGAACTTGTGGTCACCGACAGTGGAGGCCTAGCGATGTGCTAGACTCGTGTGAACTATACCAAAGATCATGCTCACAGCCTCATCCTTTAGAAAAATTGGTGCTTTTGCCTGTGATTCATCCCCACGCTCCTCCTGGGAGGACTTTTAGAGTGATGCATTCCTCGCGCGCGCGCGCGCGCGCGCATGTGTGTGTGTGTGTGTGTGTGTGTGTTTGCATGTGTATGTAAAGTTTGGGGTCACACCTGGCTGTGCTCAGGGCTCTTACTCCTGACTGTGCTCAGGGACCTCTCCTGGTGGGACTTGGGGGAGCCATAAGTGGTTCACTTGGGATCAAACCCAGGCTACCCACTTGCACACTTGCACGGTAGCTGCCTTACCCTGTACTGTCTCTCTAGCCTTCAGTCCATGTGGAGGAAAGCAATGGGTGGAGAGGATGGGTCCCATCAGAGAAAAACTGAAATGCAGTCATTGGCAGAAGTGTGGCCCATGATACCGTCTTCACTCTCATTCATCATGACAGGGCTGCCCTTAAACCTCACTGTGCCTATAAAGGACTATATAAGTGTCTATAAAGGACTCGGGCATCAGCGTTTCAAAATTTTACCTACAAGAGAAAAGTTTCTGAGATCCTCTTTCCGCAGTATAATTTATCTGGTTGATTGTTGATGACATTGTCCTTCTTAACTAGAAAGTAAGCTCCTCTAAGCCTCAGAAGGTTGTTTTTCCTCACCAATATGAAATGTGCTAAAGAATCGCTACCTGTTGTGTGCATACAATAAGTGTAGTCTTATGAAAGAATGAATCCTGGAAATACTTACAAATGTTTATTTGAAAACATTCTTAGAAAGCTGGTTTCGGGGCTAGAGTGATAGCACAGCAGGTAGGGCATTTGCCTTGCACGCAGCCGACCTGGGTTCAGTTCCCAGCATCCCATATGGTCCCCTGAGCACCGCCAGGAGTGATTCCTGAGTGCAGAGCCAGGAGTAACCCCTGTGCATCTCCAGGTGTGACCCAAAAACAAAACAACAAAAAAAAACTGGTTTCAAGTGTCACCTGTTGGCCTGGACATGAAAGTCTTGGGCCAGACTACAAGCAAGTTTCACGAGCACAGAGACACGAGTCCTACATTTGAGTGTCTGACTCTCTCCTCTGGTCGAGCAGTTACTGTCATTAAAGCATTTTTCTTCTTCTTAGATTCCCATAATGTCACTTAACTAGTTTGCTGACTGGTGGTCAGTCCATTGAAAGTGCCAGCTCAGGGAACAGTTAATTACAGGGATGTTGGTTGCTCCTCACCGAATGTGGAATGTGAGAAAAATGTTAGCATTGTCAGCTAACACCCTCTGAGTCTGATGTGGCATAAGCATTTACCCCTAAAATCTTCCAAATATCATAAAACAAAGTGACCTGGAACCAAAA